AGGAAGGAAGGAAGGAAGGAAGGAAGGAAGGAAGGAGAGAAAAGAATGGAGGGAGAAAAGAAGGGAGGGAGTGGGAGGAAGGAAGGAAGGAAGGAAGGAAGGAAGGAAGGAAGGAAGGAAGGAAGGAAGGAAGGAAGGGAATAACCAGTCCTAAGAGGTCTGTAAGGGGTGTGCATAAGTGCACCATCCTGCCTACCGTCCCTGTCCTATTGTCCCCATTTATTCGTACCTATTTCCTGTATTCTTCCCCATGTTTATACTTATACCTATTATCTTGTAAGGATTGACAAATCAAATCAATAAAATAAAGGAGTAGAGGGAGTAGAATAGAAATCCCTTTGTGTCTGAAGAGGGCGTTTTTTTGACCCCACCGCACAAGAAATTTCTTTTAAAATCACACAATCCCCTCTCCTTCCCTCACCCACCAAATTAAGCCCAATGGTTCTCAATTTCCACCACTTTTAAGTGTCGTGGATTTCAACTCCCAGAATTCCCCAGCCAGCGTTGATGGGAGTTGAAGTCCACCCCTCTTAGAGTGGTTAAAAGTTTGAAAAATACTGCAGCTTACAAAGCCTTGCACCTTTTAATTGGATTTATTGGCTGGAAAATGGCCATCCTTCAGCACCCATGTTCCCAAAAAACAGAAGGTGAATAATATATAATAATTAATTAACGATAAGCTATAATTTAGAGCCTAAATCTAAATTATAATTTAGATCCTACATCAGTTTAGCTATACTTGGCCTGGGATGTAGAGAGCTGCAGTTCCAAAAAGCATCTGAATATATAATTTATTAGTTGGACAAGATTTTCTCTTTGCCACCAATTTCCTCCTACAATCCTCCTGGGAGGTGGAGGTGGAGTCAAGCTTTTGGGGGGTGGGCAATGCCTGTGGGGTGCAGTGCTGTGGACGAGGGGGTGGGGAGAAATATCTCAGAAATGTTTGCGGGGGGGGGGGGGGATGAGGCCATTGTGAGCCTCCATATTAGTAGTAGAGGCTCTGGCTTAAGAGAGCGGAAAAGGATTCCTTCGGCTTTGGAACCCCCCGCCTCAGTCAAAATTATCTGCTGCCTTTAGGTTACATTTTTGCATCATGAAAAATGTCATGGGTGATTTATTTTATTTTAGTATCCTTTAAAGGTGTTGCTGTTACCTCCATTTCGTGTTTGTTTCCTTGGAACAAGGTTTGGGTCAGAACACTTAGGTGACTGAAGTTTCTGCCGTGCAAAATCCTAACTGGAGAGCATGATTGGTGACTCTGGGCTATGGAGGTGTCCCATTGGAGAATACGAATTACGATACACCCAGAGGGGTGGGGGAGAAAACCAGGGTCCAGGGTGACCGTGAATGACGTGCCTCAGAGTCGGCTGCACCCAGGCAGTGCCGGACATGTTCCCTCCAAATAAATCCTTTGGAAGTTTTGGAAGTTTGGCTCGAGACTCCTGATTTAAATGGGGGTCACTGCCGGAATCCTGACAGCTAGCCGACTCTGAAACACACTTCGCATGTGTTGTGAAGGGTCTTCATTGCATTTCTGCCCTAGAGATCCCAACACTTGGCTGTTCCCCCCACCCCCCCACTCTTCCCCCGCCCACCTGTCCGAGTCTCACCTGGCGATTTCACACTTGCTGACATCCAGTCCCCGTTTGGGCATAAAGCCCATGCCGCGCTGTGGCTCTTTGCTGCTGTAGGTGCTCAAGTAGTGGACGTAGGGCGCCTCCTCCGTGATCTCGAAGTAGCGGATGCTGCTGTCCCCCTGCACGGGAGGGGGAGGAGGGGGAGGAGGAGGAGGAGGAGGGTCTCAGGCCGGCTGCCCCTCCCCTCCCCTCCAGCAAGGGGGAGAAAGGTGCTCCTCCCCAGCCAGCCCAGACAGTTTGCAAAATGCCGCAACTGGAAATCACCTGTCCTGGTTTTCTCCCCTAAAGCGGGATCTGCGGCTGAGATTCTTCTTTCCTTTTCTTTCTGTTTTCTTTTCTCCTTTCTTTCTTTCCTTTTTTCTTTCTCTCGTCTTCCTTCCCCCCCACCTTCCTCCTGCCCATCTTCCTCCGACTTTCTTCCTTTCCTGTCTTTTTTCCCCCTCCTTCCTTCCTTTCTCCCATCCACACCTTCCTCCGTTTTCCTCTTTTTCTTTCTTTTTTCTTTTTGTTCTTTTTCTTTCTTTCCTTCCTCCCACCTTCCTCCTATTCATCTTTCTCCATCTTCTTCCTTTCCTCTCTTTTTCTCTCTTTTTCTCCTTCCTGCCTTTCCTTCCTTTCTCCCATCCACCTTCCTCCCTTTTCCTCTCTCTTTTTTTCTTTTTTCTTTTTGTCATTTTTCTTTCCTTCCTTCCTTCCTCCCACCTTCCTCCTATCCATCTTTCTCCCTCTTCTTTCTTTCTTTCTTTCTTTCTTTCTTTCTTTCTTTCTTTCTTTCTTTCTTTTTTTCTTTCTTTCTTTTCTTTCTTTCTTTCTTCTCTTTTTTTTCTTTTTCATTCTTGTTCTTTCTGTCCTTACTTCCTCTCACCTTCCTCCTATCCATCTTTCTCCCTCTTCTTCCTTCCTTCCTTCCTTCCTTCCTTCCTTTCCCCTTCCTTCCTTCTATCCATCCACACTTTCTTTCTTTCTTTCCTTTCTTTCTTTCCTTTCTTTCTTTTCTTTCTCTTTTCTTTCTTTCTTTCCTCTCTCTTTCTCTTTCTCTCTTCCTTCCTTCCATCCATCCACTCACTCACTCTCTCTCCCTCTCCCTTCCTTCCTTCCATCCATCCACTCTCTCTCTCTCTCTCTCTCTCCCTTCCTTCCTTCCTTCCTTCCATTCATTCACTCACTCACTCTCTCTCTCTCTCTCTCCCTTCCTTCCTTCCATCCATCCACTCTCTCTCTCTCTCTTCCTTCCTTCCTTCCTTCCTTCCTTCCTTCCTTCCTTCCTTCCACCCACTCACTCACTCACTCACTCACTCTCTCTCTCTCTCTCCCTTCCTTCCTTCTATCCATCCACTCTCTCTCTCTCTCTCTCCCTTCCTTCCTTCTATCCATCCACTCTCTCTCTCTCTCTCCCTTCCTTCCTTCCATCCATCCACTCACTCTCTCTCCCTTCCTTCCTTCCTTCCTTCCTTCCTTCCTTCCTTCCTTCCTTCCTTCCTTCCTTCCATCCACTCACTCACTCACTCTCTCTCTCTCCCTTCCTTCCTTCCTTCCTTCCATCCATCCATCCATCCTCTCTCTCTCTCCCTTCCTTCCTTCCATCCATCCACTCTCTCTTCCTTCCTTCCTTCCTTCCATCTACTCACTCACTCTCTCTCTCTCCCTTCCTTCCATCCACTCACTCACTCTCTCTCTCTCTCCCTTCCATCCATCCATCCACTCACTCTCTCTCTCTCTCTCTCCCTTCCTTCCATCCATCCATCCATCCTCTCTCTCTCTGTCTCCCTCCCTCCCTCCCTTCCTTCCTTCCACTCACTCTCTCTCTCTCCCCCTTCCTTCCTTCCTTCCTTCCTTCCATCCATCCATCCACTCACTCTCTCTCTCCCTCCCTCCCTCCCTCCCTTCCTTCCTTCCATTCACTCACTCACTCACTCTCTTTCTCTCTTTTTATTTCCTCCAAGGAGCCGGTGACACTGAATTACACCTGCCCCCCCCCACCTTTTTATTCCCACCCCAAACCGGTGCAGTGGGTCTAAGGTGGGAGGGGGCTGCACTCAGCTTGGCTAAGACAGCAAATTTATCAACATGCGGAGTCATCTCAGATAACAGATCATCAGAGTTGGAAGGGACCTTGTAGGTCATCTAGTCCAGCCCCCTGCCCAAGCAGGGAGACCCTACCCCATTTCTGAAAGATCTCTTCTCCCCAGAGTGGATTCCCTGCCCCCACCCCCACCCCCAGGGGGTAAATGACCTCCCTCCCCTGTTGACCTACCTTTCCACACAGGTAGACTATGCTGGAATCTGGGTCATAAAAGGGCAGGAGGACCCCGTTGCTGGTGTCCATCTCCTGGAGGGCGATGGGCTCCTCGAAGTTCTTCTGCAGAGGCCAGGAAAGGAGTCAAAAAACAACAACCCCCAGACCCACTCCAAGGCCCATGCACGCAGCTGGGGCGGGGGGGGGGAGGACCCAGGCTGACACTGCACACCCCTCCCCATTCGAAACCCCTGGAATCACCGAGGACAATGCCAGTTGTTAACCCAAATGCTCCTTGAAGGGCCACATCCTGGGCCTACTATCCTAACCGAGGGTTTCCCCAGAGGACATCTAGTCTGACCCCTAACTCTCCTGCCTTTAGCCTCATGCACTCTAACCGTCTCCCCACAGCCTGAGGCGCAGTGCCTCATGGGACCACACACTGGGGGTGTCCAACCTTTGGCTACTTTTGCGGACTTCAACTCCCAGAAGGCTGGCTGGGGAATTCTGGGAGTCGAAGCCCACAAGCATCTCCGGTGGCCTTAAGAGGTGGCACTCTCGCCTCAAAACCAGGAGGCTTGTGAGTTCGATCCTAGGTAGAGGCTAATCTTTGGAATCGACTCTCCTGCTCGAGCAGGGGGTTGGGCTAGATGACCTCCAAGGTCCCTTCCAACTCTGTCATTCTATGATGTCGTCTTAAAAAGTGGCCAAGGTTGGAGACCCCTGGGCTGCACGGACTACATAGTCCATTCCTAGTCCCACCACCTATTTTAGAAGCCCCCCCCATCCTCTTTTTTTTGCAGCTCCCCCCACCCCGCCTGGGAACACAGCACACCCCCATGCACCCTTCCATTCCCCTACATACACACCCCAACCCCCCCGCCCCAAATCCACAGCAATAAGATTCTGGGAACCAGGCATTGTCCGGGGACGGTCAGAACCGGAAGTCAAGTCTCCTCGGAGCTTCAACTTCCCAGTTAAGGTTTTTGGGCCCTGGGATCACCTGGTGGCCTCCTGTCCAAATGTCAACTGCTGAACCCTGTTGGGAGTCAAAAGTAGGCCAAGTGCTGCCCTCTGCTGGACAATCAGAACCTCGCCCGGATGGGCAATAAATTTGATTGACACCTGACGCCATCGGGGAAGGCGACATCCGGCATAAACGGGAGGTTTGTTGTGAGAAAAGGAGAGGGTGCGACTAAGTGCAGGCAGTCCTCGACTTACGACCACATTTGAGCCCAAAACGGCTGTTGCTAAGCGAGACATTTGATAAGGAGAAATTTGTCCCATTTTACGACCTTCCTTGCCACCGCTGCTGTGAATCACTGCAGTTGTGTTGTTAGAAACACGGTCGTTAAGCAAATCCCAGCTTTCCGCCCTGTGGCTTTGCCTATCAGAAGGTTGCAAAAGGGGATTGTGTGACACACACACACCCTGGGGCACTGCGACCGTCATAACTACGAGTCGGTTGCTAAGAGTCTGAATTTTGATGACGGGACTGCAGGGATGCTGCAATCGTCGTTAAGTGTGGAAAGTGGTCATAAGTCACTTTTTTTTGCAGTGCCATTGTAACTTTGAACTGTCACTAAATGAATAGTTATAAGTCGAGGACTTCCTGCCCTTGTCTTCATTGTTGAGTTGAGTTTGGTGCTCGGATTCAGCATCTTTGGTGTGTGTGTGTGTGTGTAAATTTCTATGTGGGTAAATGTGAGTGTGTATAAATTTAATATTCATTTTCACCATCTTTGCAGTGGTGACTTCCACGGGGAATGTGTCTATATGTAAGTGTGTGTAAATTTCTATGTATGAAAATGTCTGTGTGTAAATTTCTCTGTGAATTTGAGGTTCACTTTCACCATCATTGCAGTGCCGACTTCCACGGGGAATGTGTTTGTGTAAATTTCTAGGTGTGTAAATGTGTGTGTGTGTAAATTTCTGTGAATTTGAGGTTCACTTTCGCTATCATTGCAGTGCCAACTTCCACGGGGAATGTGTCTGTATGTATGTGCTTGTGTAAATTTCTGTGTGTGTAAATGTGTGTGTGTAAATTTGAGGTTCACTTTTACCATCAGTGCAATGCTGACTTCCACAGGGGATGTGTCTATGGGTGTATGTGTAAATTTCTCTGTGTGTGTAAATGTGTGTGTGTAAATTTCTCTGTGAATTTGAGGTTCACTTTCACTATCATTGCAGTGCCAACTTCCACGGGGAATGTGTCTGTATGTAAGTGCTTGTGTAAATTTCTGTGTGTGTAAATGTGTGTGTGTAAATTTGAGGTTCACTTTTACCATCAGTGCAACGCTGACTTCCACAGGGGATGTGTCTATGGGTGTATGTGTAAATTTCTCTCTGTGTGTAAATTTCTCTCTGTGTGTAAATTTGAGGTTCACTTTCACGGTGGTGCAGTGGTTAGAGTGCGGTACTGCCGGCTACTTCTGCTGGCTGCCGGCTGCCTGCAATCTGGCAGTTCAAATCCCACCAGGCTCCAGGTTGACTCAGCCTTCCGTCCTTCCGAGGTCGGTAAAATGAGGACCCAGATGGTTGGGGGCAACGTGGCTGACTTGTAAACCGCTTAGAGAGGGCTGTTGAGCACTGTGAAGTGGCATATAAGTCTAAGTGCTATTCAGGGGTGGGATTCAACAACCCCCGCAACCGGTTCGCTGCCCAGTTGCTGGGTGGGCGTGGCCATGGTGGGCGTGGCCTACTGGAACTTCCGGGAGGACCGTTTTTCACCTTCCCCAGAGTCCGGAGGCTTCCCTTGGGCCTCTGGGAAGGCAAAAATGGCCTCCCCCGGGCTCTGAAAGCCCACCGTAAGCCAGAAACAGGCCCGTTTTTCCCCTTCCCAGAGCCTCCGCGCAGAAGCTGCACTTACCTGCATCCAAAATGGAGACTCTTGGGAGGGGAGGGGCTGGTTTGGTGAACCAGATGTAAATTTAACCCCTGGTTCGCCCAAACCAGTCTGAACCGGTAGAATCCCACCCGCTAGTGCTATTGCTATTGCAGGATGACTCTGCCAACCGCTTGGACTTCGATCGTGACCAGCTCAAGTGTCAGGATTCCAGCCATCACCCTAATGAAAATCATGATTCTCGAGCCAAACTTCAAAAAACTTCAAAGGATTTATTAGAGGCGACATCCTGGCATTGCCCTGTAGGAAGCCAACTCTGGCCTACGTCATTGAATGGCCCCCTGTGACCCTGTTTCCCCCCTGGGTGGGTCATAAATCAGATTCTCCAATGGAGCGCCTTCACAGGCTGGGTGTCGTCAATCCCATTCTCCAATTAAATATATTCAAGGGCAAAAAAGCTCTGGTAGTTTAGTTCCAATCTTTTAAAGATAAAGAGTTGGAATGTCCTTTCTCTTTCCCTCCCTTTTTTACGGCAACTACTAAAACAGGCGTAAGAATGTTTAATGAGTTGAAATCACGGTTGAAGCGGTCTTTGCAGCACTGACTTCTACAGGGACGTGTGTGTGTGTGTGTGTGCACATGTTCTGGACTTGATGCATATAGGAACACCTTGGCCCATTCCTGCCCGAAAGTGGCTCTGCAACGCCCCCCCCAGAGACAGGAGGGGAGGGGCTGGGCAGAGCAATGCCCGAGTTCCCAGCGGGCAGGGGTGGGGTCGGGGGTCCACACCATGCAGCCCGACTACCGGGTCCCAGAGGCACAGCTCCCGCTGGCTCATGCGGGTGAAGCCCGTGGTGAAGATCTGTCCCTCGCGGGTAAAGACGGCGCGCATGGGCCTCATCCCTTCGTGGGCCGCCAACCTCTCCTGGCAGACGGGAAAGAGTGCGTTACGGGCCAGGCCGGGTCACAGAGAAGCGGGCCGGCCAGAGGAGAGAGGAAGAGGAAGGCCAAGGGGTTACATACACTCTTTCTAACCCAACTGTGGGCATCTATGCCTATTTTACAACCTGTGGACTTCAATTCCCAGAATTCCTGCTGGCTCGGGAATTCTGGGAGTTGA